CCGGCTGGTCGGGTCTCGCAGGCACCAACTCTTCAGGTGCAGTACATATTATTTCTAACAGCTTGGTGGACCAACGACCCCTATTTCTCTCGGATTATTCGCTTCAGTGGATTACAGGTCCGGCCGGGGATTTTCGTGCCTCCAATCTGGCCATCAATCTGATAGGAGCTGACAGTGAAGCCAAGTTGATGGGCTTCCAAATTTACGCCGACGGTCTGGACAGCCTGATGGGAAATTCTGAGGAAAAAGGGAGTTCAGCATCAAAGCCCTGGCTCTCTGCCGGTTTCTCTTTCCTTCGAGGCGCTATACCCCCACAGCAAATCTTCTCGGGTGGTCTCGTGGACATCATGAGCCTGCTGTACTCTGCGCCTGCCGACCCCACGCCGTTCTTTCGGAGTCTTCGTCTGCCTATGGACGTGCGTCATTACGTACCCCTAGCCTCTGGATGGCTGCTCCGTAACGACATTCTTGGAACAACAGCTCTGGAGTTGTCAGCGGCTCTTAAGACAAGCATGTGGACACAGAGTGGGACGTCGCTGTTAAGAACGAGGGTTGCTGTTGCAATGGAAAATCAGCTACGACTTGTTTTGAATGATCACAATGTTCAGAAGGCCTCAGTCATTACTAATGGGTTCGGCTCTGCGGCACGTCTTGACTTTGTCACGCGCGTAGATCTCGGCGGCCTTCCCGACTCCATCTGCATGTCTTTCCAACGAGCTCGCAGGACTCCAGTGTTGAGGTGGACCGGCGAATATAAAGAGGCCAATGTGCTTGGTAAGAGAGAAGTATTTCGAGCTTTGCCAAGTGCCCGAGAAAGAAGAAATGCGGACTACACATTGACTATTGTGGACTATTTGCCGCCTATTTCGTATTTCTTGGGGCATGAAAATTCTCAAAAGTGCGCAAAGATGGGTGGCACTAATGAATGGCCATCCTGATCCACAAAAACACATCGTGTCTTTGTTTATATTTTTTCATAAGACGGCGATTCTGATTTGAATGTTGAATTTTGTGGGCACACAGAGGCATTCTTCGCTGCTAGACCACTGTGTTACCAAATACCATCTACTCACTTTTATAAGTAAGTGAGTTGTGTGTGTAAACGATGTGGTGCCTGTTAAACACTGATGCGTTTAATTAGAAAGTGGCGACGAGATATTAAACTTCGTAATCGACCTAGTTTCGGTTATATGCAATTCTTACGTTGCGCACACGTTATTCTTGAAAAGTTGTACAAGATTGGGTCCCTATTTGGTTTGAGGACATGTGGCCGCATGCTAAGTCATGTCGGTAAGGTGCTGCATAAAAACCCCATAAAATGGTTCGAACTACCATTAACATGATATGCACCCAGCAATCCACGATAAAACTAATAATGTATTGACGGTGAAAGACGTCGCAGGCGTTAATTGGTCAGTACTCGTGGCTGCCTGCATACTTAGAGGAAATACGACGGACTTATGCCAAAAAATTCTAGTAAGTGGTAGTTACTAGTTAGTACTTGGTCAGCAATGCGCCTGATGAGTTTATTTATTGCCCTGAAAGTACTTTAGCACTCCAGTTGGAGGCGCGCGGAATGCAAGTATTGAATGCGTCGAAGTTCCCAATCGTTATTTCCTGAAGGATCAGCAGTATTAAGGCATATTTCACATTCAACCAATGTATATTAAGTATCAAACTGAGCTAAAGCATCGTGGACAGGTTAAGTAACTAGATACTTTTCTGGGGCACATGGAAGGGTTATTCCTTTCGTGCCAGGTCGGTGGTAAGAGGTTTAGAAGGTATGAAAGATGGCCATTTATTGAGCAACGGAAAAGAATTTGCATTTAATGGATTTTAAAGGCACCAGACTATGAGGAATTCAAGTTGAAATATATCACTGCACTAGAAGTATGAGTCACCATTAGAGAAGATCGCGCCTGGAGTATTTACGAGAAAACTGTCGAGTGCTCCCTGACTCGTTCCTCTTCGGAGTTCTAACTGAAAAATTTGGGTGAATCTAATACGCACAAAGAGTTGCCTTACTTTTTCATTTGTGCAAAATGGCGTCACTAGTGCTCAGTAAATTTTCCGGCATCTCGATCTGCAGCCCGCTGTTTTGTCGGGTTTATTATCGTCAACTCAGTCCTGGTCTGCCACCTCTGCTTGCTTTACTCAGATTTGTTCGACAGTCCTGCCCTCGTGGTCGTGAAGTTTGTAATGACATGGAGAACTGTTATTAACATGCACAGGCCTCCAAATTTCTGACTTTCGCCATTCAGAAACTCAATCCGTCCGACTATCGATAGTAAGTGGGGTCTCCAGGCCCGAATTCCGTCAATCACAGTGAATAAAGGAGATGCGGATTCCTTTGCTAATTTCATGCCAGACATCGGCGACGAACATTTTGACACGTAGAATAGTAATTCTTGAACAAAGTTCTCTGTCATTTTGGGGGTCAATAAGCTTGCTTCAGTTTCAAGGCTGCAATTTAGTAACCCTATACAATACGATGTTTTGGAGGGTATTACAGTTCCGGTATCCAACTACTGTACTATGGGTGGGGCATTAAGAGATTCCGATCGAGTGAGACGTACTGCACAGTAATTCAGATGATGACGGACTCCTCCTAACTTATTTCGCATTCGTTCATTTTTTTTCTGATATCGCTGGATATATCTCCAAAATACTGGATCGTTCACACGTTCCTAGCAGGAAAATGCAGAACAGCAAGCTGTCCGTCCTAAGTCCCTTGAAGATCCAGCGAATGTTCTGGTGACCAAAAGCTTCTGCTTTTTCTTTCAGAAATAGATGAGTAGATCGTGAGGGACGCAACTTATTGTTACTTTTTTTGTTTAACCCTAAAGCTATTATACATCCGTGGCTTAAGAGTCATCAAGGATTCTAGGGTGAAACCAAAAAGCAGTCCCCTTCAATCGGTCCTATAGAAGTCATACGCAGGAAAGTTACTGAGCGATTCGGGGAGGCATACTAATATTCGGCAGAATAGCATTACCGACAAAGACGAGGGTAATGCTATTCTGCCTACATAACCCGCCGCTGTGAGGCTGCTGGCGGGGCTGGAAAGCCCCGAGTGACTTCCATAACGTGATCGGTGAGCGCCCTTCTACCATACCAATATTCGTCGTGCAGCACTTGCAGTATCCGCACTGCCTTCGCCGTGCACGCCTCCGGGTTATATACCGCGTCCGATTTTCCACACAACCAACCATCCGTCACCTTGGAGTTTACACGACCCGGTCTTTTGGCGTTGGTCTATCGATAGACACCCCTCGCCCAGTTACAGCGAAGGACCACGGGTTGAAGTCTTCCCCAACGTCCTGGGATGTTCCCTCACTTCCCTTCGAACTTTGCCTATTTCCACCCTCGTAGGTCTTTCCCTCTTATCGTAAGCTCTGGCATCCTGTATTGTCTTTCAGCTGACAGTGATAAGTGTTATGGTGTTAGTTTTTTATTTGGCCCGGTAAGGAACTTTATCCGGCAACGTTTGTTTCTACCTTGAGACCCTGGTTGTGTGAGCGAGTGGCGTCACTGTCCAACAAAACCGACCGACGAACTATCAATTAACGCTAAAGCTGCTGCGCTCATTCCTCATTCGAGCCCTCTCTCCATCTCATGGCTGACCGACTGAACTGGTGGCGGATACGACTCACGCAGTCCACTATTCCGAAATTTTGGTCGGGAGAACGTCTCGTCGGTACGCAATGCAGTCCGACTCCTCATCCTAGCCCTCCTGAATTCTGAACTAGGACAACTACCGGCCGAAGAGGAGTGACGACCCTGGCATGTGAAGAACATTTTTGGTAGACGTACGGTCTCTCTGCTCTAAAGCATTTGGTCCGGATAAGCACTTAATCCAACTAACCTGAAAGTGCCCTATTTTTGACGCATTAATAGTGGAGACAAATTAGTGATCCACACTGTCTGTGCACATATCGGACACTAAAATCTGCCCCGACTTTTCCATCGCAAGACATTTACTATACTCGAACCGTACACGACAGACATACCCAATGGGTTGTGAATAGTAAAAACTCGGCGGAATGTCTTTCGACCAAATGGGACTCAGCTGCCGGCGAAGCATCATGGATCTATCCTCGGAACGACTTCCCTGAAGTCGGTGGATATGCCAAAGGTCCCTCGACTCTATTGAGAGAGTGATCGCTTTTTTGACCAGCTGGCTCCAGCCTTCACTGCTCCAAACAGTTTGTCAACAAAGCCTTATTTGAATCTTACCAGTGAAGGAATTTCGCGGGTCCTAGAAGGCTGATTTGAGTGCTGCGGCAGTTCCTTCCGATAGTGGCCAGCACACAGCCATCTGTCATTAAGCGCTTCCAAGAAACTAATAATTTAAAGACTTGGTGAGTCAAACCCCGGATTTCTTCGAAATGTACTCAAAGCGGCCCTGTGCAAAATCGTCCATGTCCAAGTGGGCGTGATATCTGCAAGGTGTACCACGTGTCCGCGGCCTAGCTGTGACATCGAGTGCTGTTTGCTCAAACAGTCTGGCTGAAAGAAATAGCCACAGCTGAACGAGGGGATAGCTAAGACGCTAAGAATTGTTAGGACCAAACTAACTGCTTACCAAGTAGAAGTGACCCCCCTACTGCATCGACTGCATGTTTTCGGACGCGGCGGCCGAACACACTTGACTGAACTTTTATACAGTTAGGAATCCTTCCGTGGCTCTCACTCGTATTACTTGCCTAAGCTCTCTTATGCAGTGGGGGGGGGGTAGCAGTTTGAGCCATGGTCACAAAATGACCTGAAGAAATGACTTTCACAGGCGCAATAAGGCATTCAGTCCTCTTCAAAGGAAACTGTACTGACAATATGCAGGGTGCAGCAGCCATGAGGTGCGCAAAGTATAGCTTCAAAGTATTTATTAGATGCACAAGCAAAGACAGATGGAACAAAAAAGATATAAAGACAGTAGCATGAAATGGAAGGCGAGTTGGAATTTAACTCAGAGAAGAAAAACGTCACAGAAGCACGGAAGGTTACGGAGGCTTGACGGACGTGTTCTTGGGATGTTGGATCGAAGACGTTCGATGTTTCTTCAAAAGCCTGGACTTGTGGCTCTTCCTGCGAATAATTGATCAACAAAATATAATATAGTTTAAAGACCGAGAGAAGGTTTCACGACGCAGCAAGATCCTTAAAACAGCACCCTTGAAGGGTGCTCCTTCCGGCTGAGGACGCATTTCCTGGAAATATTGCAAGTGGCGACCAAAAGCATACAAGCTAGGACTGTTAAGAACAATTAACGGGATGGGCAATGAGGACAAGCTGCGAAGAGTCCGGTTGTTGCGCCGCAGAGAGTCAGCAAAAAATCAGAACAAGTATAAAGCAGCGCTATACGTATGCGTGCACAGGTGAGCCAACCCATACCACTTTACGCACCCTGGGAAAATCATTCCCAATCATGGCCCTGAAAATACACCAAACTTTCCGAAAGAATAAAAGATCGAAAAATCTCTCTAACGCTGTAGTAGCCTTTCACACATTGGAAACAAGGACCTCTGCACAGACACGAATCACCAGTGTAAACGACGATGAATAATCTCTAGCAGGTATCTATCACGTCTCTCACTGAACGGCAGAAAACTCTGGCCCTAACAGAGGCGTAGGGATTGTTGAGCATAAATTCGAGACGCGCGGTACCTTGATGAGTTATCCGAGCATGCCGAAAAGGCATTCAACTGGATAAAACAGACGTGCAAACGGTTTCTTATTGCATAGCCGTCTATGGTAACAGCAGTAGAGCCTGACATCGACCCGAGTAATTATGCGGTCCTCAGAAGGGGGGTGCGCTGTGAGAAATGATACAAGTAGTAAGGACTGCTTTTACTACAAGACAAAGAGATCCAAAAACGCATATTTAACTAAAACACACTGGCTCTGTTTGTGAAAATTTTCAGCCGGTGACCTACTAAGATAAAGAAATGGCGGTTAGACGCCCAGAAGACGGTCCAAATACACTGTAACATCCGGTTGTGACTGATTAAGGACTATAAACAGAGGGAAATTGGCTGGACTAAAAGTGGGAGCAATGGTGGAAAGTCGGAAGGGTAAGGCAACAACGTCACGATCGGTTATCGCTTTGCAGCTGTGGTGACTGAATGAAAATACGACATCCGATAGGTCACCCTAAAGACATGGCTAGGGTCCACACGGCATAAAAGATCCGAGGATGACAAGTGTCTCACTCTGTCTCAGCCAAAATCACTGATATTCTCTAGCTCTCTTGCAAAACACTCTATACTCTAGCCGAGATAACCTGCGCCACGGGTGCAGGCCAAGAACTGAGCACGCAGAGGCGAGTTAAAAAGGTCATTTGACTTTTTACCATGCAAAAGAGGGTGGGAATTATTTTGAAAAAACCCGGTTGGGAGGCCGGGAAATTCGAACGGGGGCTGAGGAAGACCGTTAACGAGAAGATTTGCCGAACGTAGCTCTCAAAATAACGACCGAATAAACAGGCATTTTTTCATTTCATAGATGTTTTGGCAGATTTTGAATAACTCACATTGACCCAACTGTGAAAAACTCGGCGCCTCGGTGGGATTCGAACCCACGCATTAAGGGGAAGGATTTCGTACAGCCAACGCTCTAACCACTTGAGTTACGAGGTCCAGCCGGGCGACGCGAGTTTAATCACATTTGGGTCAAGTTACCCGCCCAACCTACTGAAACGTCTGGAATCCACCAAATCTGATACAGTAAGTTGACTGCCAATGCAGGATTTCCCAAGTAATTCATTTGTTGCTGTTTTGCGTTTGGACTGACGCTTATTCATGTTATTCGCTGTGAAAAACGCTGCGAAAAGGGTTATCGCAGCAGTCTTCGACAATTTCAAAGCAAGAGCGTTGTCTTCCAATATGTTGTGTTTTAATCAGCATTCCTCTTGGCACCTGAAAGGCAGGTTTATCGTGTCCTGGAGGCTAAACAACTAACTGAATTACGTCTTTGGGTCAGGTGTGCGAAACTGTGAACGTTAGTCTACTGTGCCATACTTTGTCGAATGAAGCCTCTTCCAATTAAATAGCCGACGATCATGGTTAGTAGCACGGCCAGAAACGCGAGGAAATCACTGATCCTAACTTATAATGTGAAATTCATTGACAGGTCTCATTTGTCTTTAGGAGGAATTAATGCAGGTCACCCGCTACAGCAAAGAGTTCGCCAGCATGCCGGTCAAGATAATACAACTTAGTAATAAAGTAACTAGGTTGGAATTCCTTCAATACCTTAATTAACGTCTCCTGGAATGGGTCCTAGTAGCGATACCATGTCTGCCCAATCGTTTTGTCTGCATGGACGTCGACAGAATTTTAAGCGCGCATAGTAAAATTAATCCAAAATGTGAACTGGGGTGCCAAGTTCACGATTCGTTTCATCAATTAAAGGTTTCTCGTGGCGCACTTTGCCAATATACGTCTTATGAACGCTGACCAAGTCTTTCGAGTGATTTATCAGAAACTGGGGCGTTGTTCGCTGCGATAGCGCATCGTCTTGGCAGTAGGAGCAACCATCGTATCATCTAAGCCAAGTGATCTGGGAGCGAAAAACTTTCGTACAGACGTACAAATCACCATGGCCGAATCCCACGTAGTCCACTGCCTGTGACGTACGTGCCCTGCTCTCGGTCGTCCCACCCCGTTCTAGCTCAGAATTCACCGATCGCAAAACCAACTTCCCCTCGTCTATGATCCTACTTCATCCGGACCCGCCATTACGTGACATTCTGAGTTTAACTGTTTATGTAATTGTAATGATCCGAAGGAGGATTAGTAAAAGGTATCATTTGCCAATTTTTCTACTAAACACATAAGAAAATCATATATCAGCAGGCACCAGAAGATTCAGAAGCTGCATAATTAAATGCAGTAAGTTTAGGAGAAGAAGGAAGCCTGGACTTGAAAGCAAAATCCTACCTGAAACAATTTTCACAAAATTCGTCGTCATCGCAGTCGTGACATATTATTGAAGCATCTTCGGCGCAGAGGCAACAAAATATTACGTCCAATTCGGGTTTTTCGGGATCAACTTGGGAATCGTAGGTGGTTGCTATTCTGGCCTCATCTATAAACTGAAGGAAACGCTTTGTCAAAACAATCTTAAACGAAGTCGAGTGGCTTTCCACCCTACACACAAAATTTAGTTTTCATTTACGATGACTTTAAGGTAACAGTAGTGCAGTCTCAAATTTGGCTTGCAAAAAAGGCGCATGTGGTAGATGGGAGGCCACAAAAAACGGACAGGGCAGGACAGGATATTTGCGGCAGAAGTCACTACTAATATACACAGGGAAGACAGGTCGCCCGTTAGCTTAGCTGCTGGCGGCCCCACGCGTCCACAGGTGGCGGTTAGTGGAACAGACTTCAGCGAACGTTGGCTGCAAAATATCGGACTCAGATAAGCAGTCGCGGACGAGTAGCGACAGTTCTAACACAGGGGGCAGAGGGCTGAGGTCTGGCACACTGAATGCCTTATAAAAAAAGTCGCAAAACCCGACGACAACATTGTCACATGGCGACCGTAAATCGCCAGTAAATAAGTTTGCTTGCCACCGCTGACTTGTTGCTAGGCTAGAAGAGAGCCTCGAAAAAAACAATTCGAGCGGCTGCTGGGGACCCGCCTGTATTCACGATCCCCTGGATACCTCATGAAATATGTCCGACTACAGTATTACGGCCCATGCTACGGCGTCCGCAGGAACCGACGCGCTCCGCAACCCTGGTTTAATGATGCGGGCTAATAGTATGCGAGCCTGACTACACAATCGCGGGCGGACTCTTGGTATTGGATGCTGGAATGTGCGGACGTTGCTGGACCCCAGTACCCAAAATCAGACCACGCGCAACCTTAATCAGTATAAAGTAAAGGTCTGCAGTCTGTCTGAAATTCGACTTCACGGCTCAGGTTCTCCAGAGATAACGATCCCCGGGGTCGAATCACACTTTCCCTTGTACCACAGAAACCCGCGCGACTCTTCTGGTAAACATGGTGTGACTATCACCCTCTCGCAACAAGCGGACCTCGTGCTACTTGCTTGGGAACCAGTCAATGAGCAGATGGCCTACGTGCGACTGAAGGGTCACTTCGTGAACATTTCCATCGTCTCTGTGTACGCACCAACTTCAGCTGCCGAGCAGCGCGATAAAGAGGCGTTTTACTCGCAGTTGCGAGTGTTGGTTGAATGACTCCCTCGCCGCGATCTGCTGATTTTCGCCAGGTATTGGAATCGTTGAACTGGACCCAGCGACTCCACAAACAGTTTTCTTGACCACTTTGGGGTTGGTTCCCGATGTGAAAGTGAAGAGAGATTGTTGAACTTCGCTGATCAGAACCGCCTGCTTGTCACCAACACGTGTTTCCAGCATCGCAATAAACATCTGCTGACCGGGTATTCAAACGACGGTCATACAGCCAGTTAGATTGACTACATACTAGTCAGCTCAAGGATCCGCAGCTGGGTTCATGATAGCAGATCGATGCGCGATGTCGAGACTGGTAACGCCGCAATGGGTCGGACCACGTACTCGGTCGTACACGCTTAAAAGTTCACGTTTCATCCGCGCCAAAAATGCCACATCCTAGACGCCTCAATGTCGCAAAAATCCGGCAAACCGCCACTGCCGAGGACCTTAGCACAGAAATCTGGTCCTGTTTTACGAGCCGAGGCGACAGAAAAAACAGTAATCGGTGGTCGTCATTGAAAACGCCAGTCTATAGGACAAACGAGAAAATCCTTGAACATGCCCAGTCGCGACGCAGTGACTGGATCAGCAGAAGGACCCTGCAGTTGTCTTCTCAGACGGCTCGGGCCGTGTCCCGTAATGATGATTCCTTCCGCCAACTTAGAAAGATGACGGTAAAGTCGGCCAGGGATGGCCGGAAGCAATACTCGGCTGAAATAGTGACATCCATGGAACAGTCCCCGAACGTTGGTGACACTCAAAAACTCTACCAAATTATCCACCAAGTAAGTGGCAAGCCCTCTATTCTGAGCGACTCTGTTAGCGACGTGAATGGCGGTTTCACTGCTGACAACTCGGCCAAAGTCGAGCGCTGACGTAAGCACTTCGAGCACCATCTCAACTTCGATACCCAACCCACCACGCCCTCGTTCTCCTCTGCAACGGCGTCTCTTACTTCTCCAACCTATGCAGTGTCATGGGACCCCTCTTCTTAAGGGGAAGTCGCCGATACCATACGAAAGCCACGCAACAACATGGCACCCAGAGAGGACGGCATACCTGCCGAAATCTACAACTCTTGTATCGATGCCTTAGCGCCCTGGCTGCATGATTTGATTGAACAAGCGTGGAGGAACGAGGTTGCTCCTGATGACTGGGGCTCAGGCATCCTTGTACCTACCCTCAATAAGGGAGATAAGACAAGATGCGAGAACTGCCGCGGCACAAGCTGCGAAAATCTTCGCATTTGTCTTTCACAAGCGATTCTAGACTGTGCGTGACTCTAGGACGAGGTCTAACCACGCCGGATTTCGTGCTGGACGGGGATGTACGAACCAGGTATTCACACTTAGGCACATTCTCGAATTCCGTCATAGCTACTAACAACCGACGGCCGTCTGCTTTGTTGACTTTGCCGCCGCGATCGATTCCATTCATCGTGAGTCCTTATGGCGGATAATGGCACTAGATGAGGTACCGCCAAAAATCATCGTCATGATCCAGGACTATTATCGCTTCACCACTGCGCGAGTCCTGGTCCTCGGCAATCTTTCCCAATCGTTTGGTATTCGGCCTGGCGTTCAACAGGGTTTTATCCTGTCGCCCATTCTGTTTAACTACGCTATTGACTGGATTCTGGGAGGGCCCTACACGAGGGTGACGATGTTGAGTTTGGACCCGGACACGGATTGACTGATCTTGTCTATGCCGATGATATTGTCATACTCGCTTCAGGTTTTGGTGATCCGCAGTCTATGGTGTCACGGGTGAACGGGATCTCTAAATCGGTCGGTTTATCCATAAATGCTGGGAAGACTAAAGTGTTTTCAAGCTACATCCCTGACCAGGGGAAGGCACCTCTCAGGATTGATGGCTGATGGTTTTAAATACCTAGGGGCGGGTGTGCTGCCGAATGGAAAGAGTAAGGAGGACATCGTCTCCCGAATTGATGTTGCCCGCCCGGTTTCCTCAAGGCTTAGAAAATGCCTATGGATCCGACGCGACCTAAGATCCGCGTGTACCGTGCATCTGTCCGGTCTGTCCTTCTCTACGGTTGTGAATGCTGGGCTTTGCGCGTGGAGGACGAGCGAAAACTGGAGGTATTTGACCACCACTGCCTGAGGACCATCCCTCGAGCGAAGTTCACCGACTTCGTTTCAAATGAGACAGTGCGCACTCGCTGCGACAACATCGCAAGGATAACTCAGGCCATCCAAGAAAGAAGACTGAGATGGTTTGGGCATGTTCTTCGTCGTCCACCTCATGAGCTCATTGTTAGTGCCCTCGATCCGGCACCGTTACTCCATCGGAGGCGTCGAAGAGGTCAATCCGCAGCCTAGCTCGACACAGTTTGTCAAGACATGGAAGTGGTTCTTGAACCTTTGGTATTCGGTCTCCGTTGTTAGCGAAGAGAACGGGTTGAACTGTCCAGATCTGCTGTCGCGGATCGTCACGCGTGGAGAGGTACCGTTCGAGACATCATTGAGGCCGGCTATATCAGACATGGTCGCAGTCGTACCAAATACAAGTAAGTACCATCACACTCGAGAAGGTTAAGGCTACGCAAAGTGAAACACTTATTTACTGTCTACAGAAAGAAGGGGTCTGATTGGTGACCTTGCGGCGGCTTGAATGGCTGGTGGACGTGGAGCGCTACAAGCATCAGGTCAAGCCTCGGTTAGCAGAGCAAGAGGGGAGACATCAGAAGGAGGTTATTGGGTAAAGAATTCTGAGTTGCTGTCTCGGGCAGCAGTAGCCGCTGGCAAACGCAGGGCACGTGCTTACGGTGGCACCTCATGTCTAAGATAGTTATCATGTGGTGTCAACCGCTTTTATTAGTTTGCGGAAGTAAGTCCAAGTGTCCTGAGTCCATTTGTTTTGTGTTGTATCACCCAAGGGGTGATGTGTCCAGTAGTCTGCGTTGCATTGGCAGGGCGTTGTGGGCAGAGGCTCACGTTGCAGTTGTATGGTCACTCCAGGTTCGTTGACGGGGTTGGATGGGCGCCGAACAGCTTTACACAGATAAACCGTCGGCAATTGCCCCGTACAAACGTGTGGCATAAGAGACTCCATTTGAGCATGTTAGCGTGGGTATGGCAACGGTGGTAATAAGCCCTCATGAGTAATGCGCTTACAGTCCAACTAAAGGCATCAGTGAATTCGATGGGTACTTCTACTTCGCGTCATCTCGGCACCCAGCTCTCATCTTTGGCTCCATGACGCCGTTCTCACCAAAGCAGCCACACCTCTATAACAGTCCTTAACCAGTCAGATAGAGGGTGTCTGGTGTGTGCGTGTGTGTGTGTGTGTGTCAACACACCCGAAAAACACCGAACAAAGCCCCATCCTTCCGCACCAAACCCAAACAAAAAGTCCTACGGTGAGGGCGGTATGCAATGCCATGGGCAGCTCGGGATAATTCGGGTCGTTTTCCCGCAAAAAATGATCGAGACCAATAGTGGAATTCGGCAGTCCAGGATGACTAAGTTGCCCTACTTAGGGGTTGTATTGCTTTGATCCCCTGGCGCGGAAGGGGCAAAAAATCTGTCCTGGACGCAAAATATGCGGCAGACAACAACCACCCTGTCCAATCTCCGTGCGTCCTCAAGGGCTGACATTGTGACACGGGTCACTCCGACGTCAAAAATCCATTCGAGCCCATCCACAAGGGTAAATGAAAACGTACAGCCCGACTCGAGTCTAAAAACCTTCGCCGGGAGAGGTTTCCAGCCGCGCCATCGATTTGTCCTCAGAGCGCTTGGCAAACTAGCGGTACACTGATATGTCTGTCGACTGATTTGCCGTGTGGATTTCACGCCTCCTGCAGCTGGCATAAAAACTGATCATCTGATTGGCCCGGGGCCGTCACGCAGGCATAAAAAACAAAGCTATGACCTGCCGAGGATGAATGAGCAGACAACGACACTGTCTTTTCGCCCGACATCAAGATCGTGTTCACGCTTCCCTTGTCGACTTATCCGCCAGGTTCACGAGTACAGCTGGTATTCCTCTTACCCAAGTGTGAAAAACTCACCGGCCTTGGTGGGATTCGAACTTACGACAGCAAGTACAAAGCTCGTATACAGCCAGCGCTCTAACCGCCTAAGCTACGAGACCCTGACCGGGGGCCATGAGTTCAATCACGCCTATAAATAGTTGGGATTATCGCGAATGCACTTGGCCTGGTAAAGAACGCCAGATTTTGGCTGGTTGGAGGTGAGTCTTTTCGATTAATGAGATGTTGGGGAATTGCCCCATCAAGCCCGTCTGTCACCTCCATCCGGAGTTGATTGACTCATTTAGCAAGTTTTCTGGATACACCAGCAACAAATAATACCTCGCGCCAGTATTTCGATCTAGGCTTCCTTCTTGCGTTTCCCTTGTTGGCTTTCGTCAATGTTTCAAGACAAAACTTTTGAGATATTTGTTGGTTTGAAAGGGCTTTCATACGAATTGTACTTCAGTCTTCTAGTCATCCGGCTCGTTATAACGCGCTTCAGCACGGCAGTAGAGCGTTCTTCGGCAGCTGCGTTTGCGTGAAAGGGAATGATTGCCGTAAAGGCTCAAAGTAAAGGATATTAGTCGCCTACCTTTAAATGGCTGCCCAAATTTTACCAATACCTCTTCTATAGACTATCCCGTCTAGAGACGGCAACTGACCGTGCTTTTCCTGCCCCACTGCTAAATGGATGTCTTGAAGGATTAAATCCAGATGTTTAATGAAGTCTCCGACCACTTACCGTTCCCTTATGACCATTCTCCAACAGCTCATAAACCCAAAAGACCTACCGCTATTCAGTCAGAATATGGCCTCGTTTATCAGACTGGAAGTACTGGCAACAATACCAATGCCAATAGTTTGTGAAACCGGTAGCTAAGTCAACACAGGTAAACGTTAACATGAGCTTGTTGTCGGGCATGGCTTGACTGCGTGACGGTTCTAGGTCAATGAGATGGCCGGATTTCACGCCAAATGCATGAAACGCGGCATCCACACGACGACTCAGTCGACATCCATATCAATTTGCCGAGGGTCCGCCGAGCATCCCAAGAAGAGATCCATAACGCAGCTGAAGATGGCTCTCGGCAAATGTATTCGAACTTTAACGGAACTGTAAGTTTCTGTTTTCTCTCTGAGAATGGGCTCGAGGGAGTTTATGACGTCGAAAGGAAGCCATTTTCAATTCAGAACTCGCATGAAATGAACTGTCGGATGGAATTTATGTGCTTCTCGACCTGAAAAACGAAGAGGCGGCTTGCCGGAAGCATAGAGTTCTACTATTGGACTTTTGAGGTGGCGACACCAACCCGTCGTCAGAAGATATACAACATGATGTGGAATTATCCCACTAGGGCGTAAGGCGGCGGAGAAGATTCCCTTATGAAACGCACACACTCGAGGGGTGGAGGGAGGGCAGGGAATCAGGATGAGGAGTGAGGATTATTGGGGTGGAAGAGAGAACGGTGGCTCAGTGAGAATCCAGGCTAGCAACCGTTTACTTAAGGTGGACGCAGAGTCAGTCAGCCATGTACTCAGACCTTCGTACTGAGCGTTCAAATCAATATAATGATTGAGACTGCCCGTGTTGGAGTAACATGCCTCCAGAAATTTCTGCGCATACTTTGTGCTGGCCATGGTGCTCACTTCAGTATTCTCCCAGCTTAAGTAGTGGCCATCTTTAAATACGTACGCAGACGAGTCAAAAGGTCTGAAAGCGTGTGCTACGCAAGTATCAGCAAACCATCGCCCCTCGTAGCCTGGTATGCGCTGGCAGTTCCCCGACACCTGGTTCTCTGCCGGTAGATAAACTTGCGTTCCCGCTGGGTAACCAAGTGGTGGGCACGGCTGCCCAGTCATCCTCGCTCTTCTGACCCCGGCTGGGGTGTTGTCGTTGTTATTGGTGAAAAGTCCTGGTCAAGTGTATGTTGTGGACCAGGGGGTGTGGCGGCACGCCAAGGTGTGAGTCGGCCGTGCCAACCATCCGCGCTCTCCGCCTCCCTCTTTCTTGATTCTGTCTTGACACCGAGTCCAGGTGGGGAATGGGGAAGAGAGTGCGGTAAATGCTGTGCAAGTCAACACTCACCATAAACTCATTCACGCGCAAGTCACCATGTCTGCTGCGCCTTGCTGTGTAGCACACGGTGGACATAGTCGAAATCGATCGTCGAACTGTCACGCAGACGAGTGATTGTGTTGACATATAGGCAGCTTGTGTTCGCTGATACGAGGCCCTATGAATCGCTATGCCTAGCCAATGCAGACGCAGGAACAAGTAACAGATGGGATGCAGTAAATGGTACTAGTCCTCTGGGAATTAGTTCGCACACAACTTTCTCCGCAGCTTAGGATGATCCCGACATCAGAGCCTCTTCTATAGACAGGCTTTCAATGATCACATCTAGCAACAAGAGGTTGTTTTCGGATGATTCACCGCGAGTGAATTTTATAGACAGGACATTATTCAGGTCACTATGAAGGTACCCACATTCTCGGTTCTCTGTGATAACGAATGTGCTATCCGGTTGGCGAGTAGATTTCCAAGACATACTGTCTTGAAATGTCAAAAGGGTTGCCCTGTAGGTGCTCAGCTACATAGTTAATTACCAAGTCATGCTATATCTAGAAAAACACAGTGTACCACGTCAAATGACGGAAATAATTCATCGAAACCTATGTTAATGCGTCGAATCCTTTTCGAGAAAACGCGAGACTTGCCAGTGCTGCAGTATGATTAATTAGTTGGGTAGTAGTACAACCACTTGGCAAGATTTTAAGTTAGTGAACTGACGATTGAGACTTATCATCAGTGGTGCATCTGCGATAGGGAGATCAATGAGGGTCACAGACTTAGAATCACCGGAACCCATAATTTTCAGTCGAGAAAACCTGTTCAACTCTGCCTTGACAGTTGCAACCTGTTCTTTCGTTTGGCCTCGGCGAGTGGGATACGGAAATAAATGCAAAGACGAGGAGGGCTGGGGTGGCTATGTCTGTCCTAATATTTGAAGTCAGTCAGCTATACCAAGCCCCGGGTCTCCGCAACCGGGGTTTCGAATCCAAATTCTTCGGTCACTGAGCGTTTAAAAGTTCAAAGCTCCGCCACTGAGCCACGGGCCTGTTCTAGAGGTTGCGATGGGAGATATTAACTATCGCTTGAGGGTCACTCATCGATCACGTTACGTAACATGCTTGATTTGTTGCGCCTCTGAGCAATACAGCCAACTTTGGCACGTCTTCTTGAAGTTAACGGGACCAAAAACAACGAAACATGAAGAAATGCCAAATTCGGCACGACACTCGGATTTAGCAGGTTATATTACAGGGTCCCGGTCGTTGAATATGAAGGCGCAGAGGTTAAGAAAAATGCATACGCATCCACAGAAATGTCCGCGTTTCCAAAAGAGCCTTTGACGTAAAAATGCAGAGTGCGTAAACTCTGAACGGCCTGCCAGCACTGTTTTAAAACGACAACGTTGACCCTTGGCATTTGCGAAAGGAATGAATTTCACCATTTAATATGGTCGCGGTGATAGGAAGTGATGGCAGTTTGACCATACATAACTAACACAAAATGCAGAGCGCGTGTATCCAAAAAATATGATTTCTTGACTACTCGTGCAATTTACCTTCGAAACAAGTTTATTAACTTGCTCTTCTTCAGTTTCCGGTGGTTTAGACGATGAGCTCTGCTCGGGGAGTTTGCCGTAAGAAAAGCTCTTCAAGGCGTCCAGACGTGCCTGTAACTCTTCATCTGACGGAAGAGGTCCCTTTCCCGAAGTAGAAGAATGAACGTCAAATTAAAATGCGAGTAGAGATGGCGAGTAGAGATAGAAAGACACTTACTTTGCCGGAATCAAGAAGAGCGTCCGCACGCTTTGCGAGGCTGTCGACTAAAAAAACAAATTTGTAAAGGGTTATCGATACGGACTTGCGACAGAAGGTGGCCGCTTGATACCATAGGTGACAAAGCCGGCTTATCAAATGGTCACTTAAAAACCGCAAAATCCAAAACAGTTAGGCGTTTCTGTTGGCTATTTTACAATACACGTACTTCAATGCCGACGGAAACTCGGGACTGCATAAAAAACGCGGGCACGACTTGGAGAAAAGTATGCAGGAGAAAACCCGTGGAAAGACGAAAGTAGCTTCACTAGACAGTCTTGCACTCGAACCAACATCATTGTCCTAGGGCCCCTCCCGCAGTCAATGTTTAGTCGACACACCTTCTATCAGGAAAGAACAGTCTTATTGCGCTCCTCATTTGGGTGTCCCGATGTCTCTTTCGCCTTCTATATCAGACCCCATGAACAACATCAGCGGAAAACTGCTGACTAGCACAGACCGCCCCTGTACTTCATCTGCCAGACCGTGTTAACTCGTGCCTTCGCAGTTTCGAGGGACCTCGGCTACCACTTCAAGACTAACGACAAAAGGCAGTGCCCTGACAGCCATATGTAGACAACAGAGCTACCGCAAATGGGAAAAAGCGATAGGCAGGACCTATCGAGTTCAAAATGCGTTACCTTCCACACGGCCAGTATTGCTCTGGTGTCTTGTGGCAGTGGGAGCAGCATTACGTTTTTCAAGGGCTTCCATGCGTCTGTGAATGTCACTAGAAATATGAAGCTTACTTCAGGAAGTTGGCAGGAGGCTCCAATTCACTGGCATCCAGAAACGGTTTGTGACTTGAAAGTTTCATCTGGTTAACCAGCTTACTTTACGATTCGATCGAAGCATGGATAGCAAACTTGGACAGATTTACTTCCCTCATCAGGGAGGGTGACACGACGCGAAAGGCATTTTCTGCAAAAAGAGAGTTGACAACCAGCGCAGCTCAGCTAAAATGAACAAATTAAAAATAAAATTCGTCGACTTACTTCCGGAGAAAGTTTGGTGAAACGTTTTGCGCACTGGACACAAGACATGAATTACTTCGTGCTGGCCGAGGTAACTGAGGAGAGAAATTTTTCAGTTTTTTGAATAATGAGATGTCCTTCTGTAAGTACTCACACAGCAATGGAGCGTAAAACAAAAATCGGCAGTGTTTTGCTACAAACCCATTGAAGGAATGGTTAATAGGCGAAGACAGCAAAAAGTGTGTTTGGCAATGCAACGAAACTAACATGAAACAGAGTGTAAAGCAAGGGTTAAGATATAGAGGTTGAGCCAAGACGACAGATGAAAAAATTAGTAAAATTACGGCGAGATGCGTATTTCGCCTAGGCCTGAATGAACGCACTGAAGCCTGTATAATAGCATGCAAAGGTACCAACTAATTTATTTTTGTACATTCTGGACACGAAGGAAATACATCGATATGCGCAAAGCTAAGATAAGTAAGTGTCGTTGTCTGGCGAACATCGCAGTAGGTAAAAGTGCACAAGGGGTAGATGCGCGTACATTAAACCAACAAAGGCGGATATTACAGTGAATGTGGTAAAAGAGAACGGAGAAAATAATACTGAAAGAAGTGCAGATCTTACTGTGAAAAAGTTTAGCTAAAAATGAATGATTCCTACGAGAAAATGGCACCTGAGGGCAGTTGGAAATTCCTTGTCAGCCATGCAGTCATATCAGTTGCTTTCCCAGAGTACGGTTCCAAAAGACGCTGCGCTGGAGATACACTGGACCAGCGGGGACAGGATTGGTATGACAATGTCTTCCTATCGGAAAAGGATGACTGAGGGAGAGGGGAGTCCAGCAGATGCTGCGCAAGTTTGCCTCACTATAGACTAATTCAAGAGCAAGTCACCGTCCCTCATCCGCTCAGCGGGACACATGGTGGACGTTGTCGGTTGAGACGGTCGGACGGTCTTCCTAGGGTGGAACCTTCTCCGTGTCTTGAGCATTACCAGCCTACACATGTCAGTTTGAACCATCATTAACGCTAACAAACCGTCGGTGGAAAAGCCTTTCTCATCTTGCATCTTAGGTTAGCCAGTAAACAGAATCCCAATAACACAGGCCAGCCTTAGAAAACGCTAGGATATAAAAGATTCCGCATCGACCATGTCCCACAAACAAGACGAGTAAACTTGCTGTTGCATACAACTGTCGACTTTGTTCAGTGGACTCCATTTTCATGTTAGTGTAATTGCATTCGACACTAAGTGGTGTTAAACAAATCTTTTTTATGTGTTCAGTTTCACTTTAGAGCGCTTTAGTTGCCTCCAAGTACACTTACAGTGTCGATTATGCAGGTCGGCAGGTGGACACCCATGAACAGTTAGGATGCCTCCCAAACAGCAAATATAAAGGGGCCACACCTGAGCCTCAAGTCGTTAATTCCAAGCACCGATGATACGCAACGCGAATGCGCCCGCCTAATTCAAGAGCTCACACGTGGCTAGTAAACTTTTGAAGTGGCTGTGTTTCTACTGGATGAAAATGTCGGGGTCTAATTCACATATTCGTTACTTATTTGGCAAGTCTCGGAGGCATTCACAAGTAACCGGCGTTGCTAGCAAGATTTGAACTGGCAAGGCAGACTAAGTTGCTTGCTACTGTACTTCTCCCAAATGTAAGCGCCGATAACGAGGCCGATTAAGAGTATTAAGAATACAGCCGATCAGAAACGGAGTATCAAGTTAGCTCGGAGGGGAACTCGAGGCATCTCGGAATTAGCCCTATCGATAACCCGGAAGTACTGCTTCAATGACGAGAGTTTAGTAAAAGCTGATACTAACTACAACCCAGGACATCACGCGGACTAGTTTCATCTTTTTTATTGGTGGTTGGTTTACGTACCAGTTCGAACCGGGTCATGTAGAAAAACCCCTCCCTGCCCCCACACAGCATTTAAACATCAAGAGAACGGCAGTCGCTTGAAACTACCTGAGGTGGGCAATTTATGTACACAAAAAACAGCAACATGAGACGACATATAATGCGAAATCATTATGAATGCGTATGCGAAAAACGTTTACCGCTACTCCATAACCGCGAAATTGCTTTAGGACAAAAAGGCGTTTAACTAAGGAGGAATTTGAAACAGAGGTAAGGGAATACGGCTTCGACTGCTTCGACTTCCAAATCATGAAACAGGACTCTCCTCTTTGGAAACCATGTCAACTAGCGGTTATTGTCAGACTTATTATAGCGGGTCAAATAAGTTCACGATGGACGTTCCTCTCTGATTCAGTCTTGTTAACTAGAACAGTAAGCAATCCATTGAATCCATGAAGAAGCAAGCCGTTCTAGGGCAAAATAATCAAGTGGATAAAAACGGGTTAGGTGCAAGTAGGTTGTACTCCCCACTCTATGTAGTTCGACTTCGTATATTCTCCATCCTTTTACGCAATCGGCGCCGGCACTTCAATGCGACGCCTTCTGCAGTATTCAATTAGTTTTCTAAGGTACACGTAGTGTTTTACCACAAGCCCATTCCCAATTACCTACTCCCACTTTAGGGTGTCATTTCCCGCTGTGGCACGGCACTGCGCGTGAGATCTCGGCCTGACGTCTGGTTTTTGTTACCTCTTAGTGCCGACCGTTGTTTGTCTTTTTTCACTGTTTTTACGCATACTCGAATGAGTATATCGACGCCGCCTAGACCGCGAGGTCTACGTAATTTTGCGACAAATGGACGAACATGTGATATATTGTCTCCCACCTCTGACAGCCCACCTCCAGATGCGGAATTGTCTCCTTACGATGACACGTTTGTCCGCGCTGGACTCATATGACGCATTAGATTCCGAGCACTCTCCTTCTACTCAACACCAGAATGCGAGCCACTTGTACATTAATTGTTGTGTAAGTGAGCAGTGAGCTCACAAACTCCGCAAAATCAGTTGAACAGCCTTCTGCAGGTCACGAAGCTGCTCTCGCCGAACTTGCCCTCGGGCGCACGAAAAGTGTTGGGTGGAATAGGCAGTACTGCGCCGACAATGAAAACGGAGAGCACTTTCATCTATGACAGTCAAGTTAGCTGAATCATGGGTCACCTACCCGTTTTACGCAAATTCGAGGTGAAGTAACTGCCCCCTAGGGGGCAGTAGGGCCAATGGGGATTTCTTCCCCAACGCAGATGACTGTCATTCCATAAGTTTTTCGTGTCTACTAGACTACGTTACAGGAAAGACCCGTTCGTTTCTGCTACACAGTTTCCCTCATTTACCCATCGAAAGTTAACTTTCAAGGTAATTACCTTGCAAGGTAACTTCCATAGAAGAATGTGACGTATTTATAGGAAACCATCACAGGCATTGCAGAAGATACTGCGTAGAGGGAGTGTAAAGCGATTGACGCGACATATCCAGTCAATGGGATAACATGGTCATGACGGAACATCTAAGCGCTCCACTACGACCAACGGGTGGGTCGTTTACATACCAAAACAAAGCTGCGCTCATACACTCTCGGGCACCACTAGTTAAAATCCCTTTTAAATTGGACTTTTTCTATTACCTACCGAAGAAAGACGAGTAAGCAATACGTCTTTATACCTCTATGCAGTATATACTGCATCTCCGCCCCTTTCCAATAATCACAGATAATATCCTATATAGCGGCTAGGATTCCAGCCCGCTAAAAGTTAGGAGGTAGTTCACAGTTTTTACAGTTTTTCACTAAAACTGGGGCCCGTAACCTTCCGAATATACCAAGACCTTTCTAAATACATTTGCGCAGTTACAGTGTCCTACCTAACTAGGAGTCCTAGTTATGGTCATTTCATATGGTCATTCATATATGTCCATTATTATATATAATTATGGGCATAACGAAGGAAAATCCGTTTGGGCTACGGAGGGTGGTACGACTGAATGGTTCTCTAACATCGATTAAAGCCTACGGCATTTCAAATGTCTGGATAACACAGAAGGCTTTATAAGTGGACAGAATGGGCCAGCCGAAAAAGGGAGACTGCAAACTGTAACAACCGGAGATGTAACCAGTGAACCGACCTTTGTTGTTTTAATTAACACTCATGTAATACCCAGCTTATCCTCGTCCTGTAGGGGCTTCAGATCGCCGGTGCCTTCGTAGTCCTTCGCTGGACGACCAACTGAGAAGGGCTCGTCAATGGATTGATTCCGTGTCCCAGACGACATGATAACAAGTAATCCAGCAACAATCGTCAGCAGGAGTGATACAAGGAACCGTTTATTGTAATCGAATAATTGTAACACGGAGAAAGGGAGTTACAGGGGTGTGGCAGACTCCTTGATTGCGTTAGTCAATGGATGTCTCTCTGACAGAATAATTCGGTGCAGTATCTGGCTGCACAAGGGGGAGTGTAGAGCTGGAGGCTGCTACAGGGGTTGGGATCCGGTTCTCGCCAGTCGATTCTGAAACTTAGAAGAAAAAAACAGGGACCTTCGTAAAACAACAAAAGGACGGATCAGTTCAATTCTGTCATACCACACTTCCCCCCCTTTAGGAGGGAGCCCTGTCCGCAGGGTCCCGAAGGATAGCTGGTAAAGAGTCCTGTATGGTTATTTCATTGGAGGGTTCTGGCACTAGGTGATCGGGAAGAATGGGTAGATTCTCTTCTGATGCGAGGGGTAATCGGCCTCTGAAGGGTTTTAACTTGTCAAAATGCGCAGTAATGAAAGGACTATTGGGCATGGCGGCGTCTTGTATGATGTATGTGG